TTATCGTATTTTTCATTTATTTTATTGTTAACATGATTCGATCATGAACAATAATGAACAACTCTATTACAATAAAAATAGTTGTTACATTAATGGCGGTAAGCTCCAACTCGGATTAACTTTTAATACCGTCCCTGTTTGTATGATCTCAAAAATGTCTGCTCAGAGTTATGTTGATTAACTCTGATGTCAACATCAAACCAGCCGGACATTCTTGATCGGGATTTAATCCGAGGATAATACCGGTTGGAGCTTACCACCATAAATATTGGTGTATTTTCATTGTGGGTTACTTCACGAACAATAAAAATAAATCTGATTGAAGCATGCAGACTATGAGAGGGTCAGCAACACTGCCAATGTAATTAAGATAGGCGCTGCTCGTATGGCTCTGGCTTTGACAGTTCGTTTGGCTCAAAACAAGGCAGTCCGCGTCCGCTCATATCTTATCCTAGACCCTCTCTAAAGCTTAATGGAGACCTTTTCCGTGCAGTCAATAATCATACAATAATAATAAAAACAATCCACCACTTGAAGATGTCAGGAAAGAACTCTCAGGTGGAAGCATATTTCATGGGCGATTCTCTCCAGTCGAATGCATTAACTTATCAACGACGCTCAACCACCAAGGAGACGTGACCTAGGGATATCGAGCGCAGGGGAGTTGGCCTGCATTTCTCACAAGTTCCGGATCGAATCTCGATCCATAACCAGTAAAAAAAGGACCACCCGTAACAGACATACACAGCAAAAAAAGTTGTTGAATATTACATCGAAACTGCTGCAACCAGGTCAATCCATCGGTTGAGTAATATCACATTGTACGATGTACATCGATTTTGCGAACAAAATTACATCCATTGATGTAATATTGCATCTGCTTTTTGCTATTACATCATTATTTCATACATCAGCTTGAATTACGTTGATCGATATTACATTTTTTTTTGCTGTGTACCACCCCCTTCCCTTCCCGGGGCAATGTTTTATTTTCTCGATTTATTTTTAAAGTCGATAAAGTAGATCTGTCAAGCCAACACATACACTCTAAAGTACACTGTTATTTTTATTAATCAATAAATTCGCCAACCAACAGTAAAATAACAATAATATATAATGTTATTGAAAAAAAATTATATGGGAAAATCACGAAAATTTCATTGTTAAGATACTTAACAACCCCCCTTTTTTATTGTAAATTTTCCATTTACCATGAAATTTATTGTTTTGTACAACATAAATCAAGGTAAATTTATTGTAGACGTAACAATATAAATCATTGTTAAGACAATAATTTTCGTCTTATTGTTACATTTTTTTTTAATGTATTTTTGTTGTTATTTTTTTCGGTTTGTTTCTAAAAACCCATGGATTGTTAAATCAAAAAGAAAATATTTTCAAATTTACAAGATAGCTTTTATGGTTTTGACGTAAGCTGTCAAATTTGGCAGCTGGGTCAACAAAAAAATATGTTTGTTTTTAAAAGAGATTTCTTGTTGATTCAATCAATTTATTTTATTTAGACTGGCATACACGGAGAACAAATTCGTTAAATTAAGATAACAATCCTAATAGTTACTTTCACATGGAAAAATATTGTTGTTTGAAAGAAACCTATAGTTATTCCAACATTAATTTGACCGTCAACTCAATCATATCTACCTTATAGATTCAACTGTTCATCTTATACTCAATTCAACTATAACTTTGATCAATTATAACAACCGTCAAATGTAATTTAGTTATATAATTTGGTGTCAATCCACATACCACAGACAAACAGACGTAACTCGTTGAAAAAGTTTTTCTTGAAAACATAGTATCTCAAAACATAGGACCACAGTAACGACATTTCTCTGGCTTCTCGCGGAAAACAAGCTTGCTCGCTAACTCGCAAACAATGTTGCATAAAAGTTCTATGGAATGTATAGATACGTCAAAGTGATCCGATGCCAGCGCTGCGGCGAGTAGTTCGCGGAACTGATATTATTCAAATCAACCGTTAAATGCGTGAAAGAAGATACAAAATGAAGTGATACGTCTGTTTGTCTGTGCACATACTTTTAACTTGTGATGCGTAGAGCAGGCGATAAGATAGCTGGCGCTCACGCAGATGAACACGGTTCAAATTTAGTTGAATGTTCTTGTTCACCTTTTTTATGATTTTGCAGTTGTGTTTTTGAGATCGATAAAGAAGCAAAACAAACTTCCTTAATATGTCGATAATGAAGAGCAGTTCGTTTAATAAACATTGTAAAATTTTGCTTCCCTAACAATAGTTTTCTTGAATCAACTAAAGCATAGTTGTATTTTGAAGGTTGACGTTTGTTCATCTATTGAAAAATATAGTTGAGCCAACCGAGAAGCCAACTATGGACTATAGTTGTTGCCCTCTATATATAGTCAAATCAACTATAGTATCGGGTTATCTCTAAAACAATTGAACAATATAGTTATTTTGACCGGAAAAATAATTGCGTCTGCTATAATTTGTTCTCCGTGAAAAGCTTAAAAAGTATGCAGATTCCCGCTTCATCTTATTGAGTCCGAGCCATGATTACTTCGGCAGTAGTCATGCATGATTTAATTCTAAATAATATTTCCTGTATTAAATTTGATTATTTTTGAATATTAATATATAATCACAAAATATTAAAATTCAATCAAAAATTATTAAAATAAAATCAAAAATCATTAAAATTTAATCAAAAAAAATTAAAGGGTTGTGTCCTAGACGCGACCGCAGTACCAGTACGACGTAGAACCACACGAAATTGATATTTTTCATGCATTTTTGACTATTATACTTTATCTTAAAATTTTCAAGTATTTCAATGTTTCGGTTATGGTTCACTCAAAACAATTTAAACATTTTTTTTTTGACAAATATATTAATGTGAAATTCCACATGATTTTCATTTGACCACACATAAACAGAATCCACTCAGAAGTACACATGAAATTTGTACGCAAATGAATAGTATGTGTGGTCACGCATGGTTTTTATATGTACATATATTAAGTATCTGGCCGACACATAGATATTGATTTGTTGATCACGTTGCAACAATTCATGTGTGGAACACATAAAAACTCCAGAACAAGATCCTTAGGATGATCCTAAACAGTCCAGGATCCGAAATTCTGAGGTTCACCGCCTGGCTGGCCTTCAGCCTCTCGAAGAGCGATGAACGGTTTCCTTGGAAAGGTTCAGAGACACCTGTCTGAAATCATGCGTGATCTGGCACGTTAGTTAAGTTAGACTCGTAGTTAGGTAGGTTATCTAATTTTTCATTTAAAACAAAACACACCCCCCAAGGGGTATTCTGTTAACTACATGAAATACGCAAATACTAAATTAGAATATCCAATGAACAAAGATGAAGAGCCAGATAGGCTAATCAATTGAAATGCAAAATCAATGTATACACTATAATCGACAGAAATAAACGAATTTTTACTACTACTACTTTTACTGTCAGTGGTGTGTAATTCATCAACATAATATCATCGAATATGTCTTTCAAGCAATTTTTTTTTCTCAAATTTGAAAGTTATGGTGCGGGAAGAAATTAAGGGAAAAACTTCTGTTTTTACTAATAATTGTGGTTAGTTTAAAAAAAATTTCCCGGAAAAAAGTGATCGTCAAAGTCCGTGTCTTTTTCGGATCATTGTTGAGGGGGAGGTTGTTGTGAAGGGGGAGGGAGGGGGTTTACAAACATTTCTTTTCCTCATTGTGTCGCATTCCTCATTATGGTCACGCCGTGATCCACCTTTAGCCACTGACTTGTGGCACGCCGTCTGAGGCGACAATGAGCAAAAGCACGACAGCAGCGCTGTTTTATATCTTTTGAGGATCAAGCAGAACGATGTGCAACCGAACCTGACAGGATTTCCCGCCGTTTTTTATGAATGGGGCGGAGCAGAAAGTTTCTTTTGTACAGAATATGTAAAATAGGATGGATTTTGGATGTTAATATAATTGCATATATAGATATGTTTTACAGCCACTTGTTGGTAATCCATCGAGTGTATGTCTCCTGTTAAGCAATTGTTTTTTGAAAATGTTGGCTCTGCATGTAAAAAATTAATTATTTATACGTAATTGTGGTTTGCTTAAAATTTATTTCCCGGAAAAAATGATCGTAAAAGTCCATGTCTTTTTCAGGTTATTGTTAAGGGGAGAGGTTGTTAAGGGGAGAGGTTGTTAAGAGGGAGGGGGTTTTACATGCAAGTTTGTTCAAGTCTCATTCCTCATTGTGGTGGACACGTCGTGATCCACCTTTAGCCGCTGACTTAGACCTGCTTTCTGCAAGACCTAGTGCCACACCGTCCGAAGCGGTAATGAGCAGAGGCAGGAGAGCAGCGCTGATTTATATCTTTTCATGCTAAAGCAGAATGATGTGCAACCAAGTGGTATTCGTTTATGATGACTGGGTTTGGGAAAAAGGCTTATTTCATGAAAACAGTGATAAAATTATCATTTGTACATTGTCAATAGTTTAACTACAGAAAAATTGGGAAAACATTAATTTCAGCAGGTTCGTAATGTAATATCCTATCGATTGGCGTATTTGGATTTTAATTTCATCTATAAATGACAAAGTTACAAGCGTTCAAAACCTAACACTCCTTCACCACACATATTTTTTGATTTGCACTCCAGTATAGTCGACAAAGACGTAGTTCTACGTCAAAAGATAATCTACAATCTAATCAACCATGATTAAACTGGGATTAATATCAGACGCTTATTTTTTAGAAAGAGAGGATTAATTTTTAATCATTCGATATGATTAAACTGAGCTTAATGTCAAATTGATTAAATTTCAAGCAAAATGGGAATAGTTCAATAATTTATCAGTATACATTTTGCTGTGTAGTGTCATAAATCACAGTGAAGAATACATTTATTCATACAAACAGGCCGCCATTACCGAGCATAAAGGCTGGAAAAAGTTACCGTGGTGTAGCTTCGCGCTGTCATCATTGATGACTGTTTAATGATGTCAACTCAGCAAAATCAAAGAAAAATGGGTGTTTGTCGTCGACCCCTTTATTTTGTGGCTTAATATATTGTAATTTCATGTAAATATCAGTTTCTTAAAGCCCAAATTTTATGAATAATTTTGCTTTATTAACAGGAGAATGTTATTTTGTTGTAAATAAACCGGTTGGTTGTGATCTTATTGCAAAAATTTAGTGTTGTCGTCTGGATGAAAAACAACTATTCTTGAAAACAAAAAGTGAAATCAATGCAGGATGTATTTTTCGATTGGATGGCCACGGGTTATCAATTGTTCATATAAAAATATACGCAAAATATCATGCGATCGCGTAAAAATCCTTTTTACGATCCTTACGGATGATACACTTGCAATTTGGTACACAAAGGTAAGCTAAGTGAGAGCATAATGCCAATGCTACGTTTGGAATGTATTGCGATTACAATGTCTTGTAAGAAAGTATCTTATCAATCAGTGGTTGTCATACTATTTTAGCCTTGTGTTCCAATTGCGGCTAAGATTCGCAGCCCCGAGTGCGTAGAGAATTATGGCCAGAACACAGCCGTCGAGTGGAAACCGGACTCCAGCATGCTGTTGGTGGTCACGACAACCGGAACACTGTTCATGTACACTTTAATAGTAAGTGATTCGCCGAAAGGAGTATATAATCAGAACGATTCACCTTTTTCCAACCTCCGGAGGGACAGCGCGGAGTTATTTCTCAAAGAAACAATCCCTTCTTTGCGACTTTCGTTGGTAGGTATATTAGAAATTGAATGTTAATGTGTTTCTAACTGTCATTCCCTCACTTTTAGACGCATCAGCTGTCGTTGTACGTTCCGATATCGTGCATTTCTTGCATCAATGTTTCGCAGATTATGGTGGCAACTAAAAATGGTCGCGTGATCCGACTCAATTGGAACGGTATAGAGGAGCGCGATTATGCCCTCGATTTGAAACGTATACCTTTCAGTATTAATCAGCAAGTTAGCTACGGTAAGAAAGTTTCCCTGCTGAAAGTTGTTTTTTAGGTTTAATGTGATGATGCTTATTATTTTTTCAGCTGTTCCAATACTGGAGAACAACACTTACATTGAATCGATTGATTATTCACCTTTACTTTGTGGATTTGCTATTACATTGAACGATGGACGAGCTGCATTTTTGACTGCGGGAAATACGAAATTTGATCCAAATGTAAGTTATTGCAATTAAAATAAGGAACCTTAGAGTAGACAACATTTCTTTAACAAAGTAGATTATCGCCACGTTAAGTTTTAGATCCATCAACCAAATTTGCATTCTGCTTTTTTTTTAGAAAAAATATACATTTATGGCAGTAAGCTCCAACTCGGATGATCTGCAACATATTTGCTTGATGTCGCATTGATTAACTCTGATGTCGACATCAAAGCAGCCTGACTTCACATAACATGTGGAACTTCATTCAAAATAGCTGACTTAAAGTTAACCACTTTTTGTGTTGCCTCAGTGGTATAACCAACAATCAATTCGAAACTAACGATTTTAAATTGGCTTACTTCTTGACTAGCCTATTGGTCCCAAGCAAATCGATTAACGAACCTTATTCTAGTCAAAATTCTAGTACTACACTATGTTTGTTTTGATTCACTATGAAAGTTTGACAGATAAAATTATGGGTTAGTGGATTTTTCTATGTTTCGAGGGGTGCATCGATTAGCTTGGGACCGAAGATAGTACCAGAGCTATGCCAAAAAGTTGAGCACGTTTATTCGGGACCTTCTGGTCTTAGAGTTACCTCTATGGTGTAACTGGCATAGTCGGACATCGATCTGTCACATTAAAATTTTCGTGATATCGACACTGAGTTTTCATAAGGAACAATGTCGAAAACATAAATAATGGCTTCTTTCGTAAATTTCTTGTATTACAAAATCAATCCATGTAAGCCACCAATTCGATAAGAAGGACTTATTCCTCTACACAATCAATTCCTTGAGTGAGTTTTCATTTTCGAGAAATTCACGCAAAAAGTAATTGTTTACGTTTGCAGCATTGGTTATTACGAAAGAAAAGCAGATAATATATGGTTGAATGCTCAGTATAGATGAGTGCACGGGTGAACTTTTGTTCATCTACTTAAAAAAAATTGACACAACAGCGGGGCCCTGTTTACTAAAAATGAACACATGAATAATGCTCGCGTAACATTTGAAAAGGGCCTATCAACTTTTGTAAATAATTTGCTAGGTCGTTTTCACAAGAACCGAAGTACGCCCACGCAAACCAAGAGCACTATCGGGAAGGGTAGAATATCCTCTGCCCTGTGGTGTTGTTAGTTTGCGTGAGCGTATTCGGTTCGCGCGAAAAAGGCTTAACAAGTTTTGTGTACATAAGTTGATAGACCCGTTTCAAATGTTACGTGAGTATTATTCATGTGTTCATTTTTAGTAAACAGGGCGCCGCTGTTGTGTCACTTTTTGTCGAGTGAGTGAACTCAAATCCATCCGTGCACTCGTCAATGCAATGACGTTAACGGCGACTCTGCAACTCTTTACTCCTGGTAAAATTCCATAAGCATCTGACAATCTGTGCATGGAATCTACACTCTTAGCTACGATTACCTTAGCGATTACGATTATCGGTAAAAAATTATCGGTATTTTTTACCGATAAAAATCGTTACTTTTCACTATAAATAGGCTACTTTTTAGTATAAATAAGGTAATTTTTAGCGTTAATTATTGGTAATCCATGATTACCGATAATTTAGGTATGTGCACTTTCTTGGATTATCGGTAATTTTTACCGATATCTAGGTATTTTTTACCGACTTTAAGGTATGTGCATCTTAGCGTGAGCGGACTTTTTCACCATAGTACCAGCCAGCCGCCGTCTTTTCACGCAAAGATTGACAGAATGTTATGGGATTTTCATAGGAGTGAAAGGGTAAGGAAATGTTCACTGTGTTTCACGCACAGACTGATGTTTGTTTATGGGATTTTATCATAGGAGTAAGGAGTTACAGAGTGACCGAAAAGGCGAAATGTCAATAGTCAAGATAATGCACAATGAGATTTAAACAATTGTGGCCCAGATAATTTTTTGTCGTCTACTGTTTAAATGCTTGCGGAGTTTGACGAGTGGGCTTTTCAAAGGATTGTTTAACTAGTATTTTCAAGTCAGTCAGAAGCAAATCAAGAGCGTTGTTATCTAGTATTGCCTATTTACAGATGTACTTTTTCTTTGTCTGTTCGATCTAATTACATTGGATTGATTACGGAAATTATGTTAATTGAATGGAATTTAATGCAAATAACTCGAAGATTTGATGATTACGTTGAATAGGTGTAAAGCTACCATTTTGTTTGTGGTATGTTGAAATATTGTGAACTGTGCTTTTAATGAGTCAACTTATGATGACATCACGAAGTATCCTGTTGATGCATATTAACGTTTACATTAAAAAAGGCAATTTTTTCTAAAATAAAAAAAACCTTTTTTTTTAATGCTTTATTAAAGAGATTTTTAGCCTTAGGCTAGTTCATCTCTAAACAATGCAACTTCCAATAGAACCAAACGATTGTTTTCGTTTGTAAATAGTGCTTAACTTTGATGCACCTAGCTGTGAGTCCCCCCTTACGACCTTAGGCATAGTGGTCGAAAAATAGTTTGTTGCCCTTTGCCGTTTCGATCAACCAGGATTAACCTTACCACGGTTTTTGTTACAAAGTAATTGTAGTAGTTCTTTGTGTTGGGATTTGAGTAGAAACTTTCAATTAACTAACGGAAATTGAGAAACATAGGGAGTGTTGAAATCTTGGGTATTGCAGGTATCGCTAAGCACTCGATTTCATTTATCGCCTTGCTTGCAAAATTCTTGGGAATGGAACGATGCAAGGTCAGCTCAAAACACTGCATATTTTTCAAATGGTACTTCTGTATAAACCTTGACATCTTGTTGCAAAATTTTGCTGCTTCTCTCTGGACTTCAAAATGTAAGCACTTAACTCCAAATTTACGCGATCGTTTTTTTCCTCCTACAAAACCTAAGGAAATCAAAGTTTGATGCAATTGGTTCCAAAAAATTAGAAAATTTCCAAAGAAGAAAATGTGACATACATTTTTTTTTCTAAGTTTACCACAGTTTTGCTGTGTGAAGCAAGGTGATGATTTTTTTAAAGCTTGCTATATAATTATAAATAAAGCACACAAATGGTTAAAGTAATAGTAAAACATGAGTTCATGCAGGGCTGGTAGCAGGTCACTTTTTAGTGACTTGGTCACTTTTTTGAAGCCAGTCACTAAAAAGTCACTTTTCACAGAGTTGGTTGGAAATGCTAACATGAAGCTTTAGTGTGATGATTTATTAGCTAGAGAATGATCTTTAGAAGAGGGTAGGTGGACAGTTCCGTTAGAGTTCGGCAGTATGAAAATTGAATAGAAGTTGAAAATGAGCGAAGGGCCATTAATGCGACAGTTTTCCAAGATAGACGCACATTTTTGCCTAACCCGTACGATGTACGCGGGGACTTGAAGTATGTCTCCAAGTCCACAGGCAAAATGACGAGAGGAGCAACACAATAGTTGGGTAAAGAAGAAAATTTTAACCAGAACCAGTGAACCGCAAAACTTTAGAAGACCAGGAAAACAATTGGGAAATGCCTTCTATTTCGATTCCCAGAAAATAAATTGTAAATCTTGTAAGCTTTCCAAAGGTATTTGTCTGTGATAGATTTTCAAAAGTCTTTCAAGGGTGATAAGAGCTTTAAAAAATCCAAAGTAAATTTTAGGCTAATTTTAAAGGATTCTAGGGAGGACACCAATATGTATCAGAGAAGAATACCAAAGTACAGACTATGAAAGTCTCATATAAAATTAAGTTCTCTGATAACCGATTTCTTCATCTCCGCTTAAATCTTAAGCCAGGTTTACTTATATAGTTAAACTTGGCTTAACACATACGAGCGTCGCTTTTGATTGTTGTCTAAATTATTAGAGACGAAAAGTTCAGCTCCGAAACAATTTTGGAAAGTGTGAGAGTGCATTTTAACGAGAGTTCTAAGAAGAATTCTATGATGATTGGATGAGGATTCTAGGACCAATTCTAATAATTCTGGAGTGAATTCTGAAGTTACTTCCAAGAGAATTCTAAAGAGTTCGAAATAAGGGTTCAATCTCAAAGGAATTCTGAGAAGAATTTCAAAGTTATTCTGTGATGGATTTTTGTTTTGAGAATTCTGAAGAAATTACTATGGGAATTATAAGGAGAATACGAATTGAATTTCCAATTGAATGCAGGGGAGAAGTCCAAGATTATTCTAAGCTGAAATTTATGAAAGTTCTGAGGTAAATTGCAAGGAAATTCAAGGAGAATTCAAATGTATTTAAAATGGATTTATGGAAGGAGCCTTCAGGGAGTTCCTAGAAGAATCAATAAAAAATCCAAAATATTCTACTTTAACTAATCATGTACTATTAATTCTTGCGTGAATTTAACGATTTACATAGTCGGAGATGCTTAACGTCAAATATCAGACTTAAAGGGAAGATGTTATACGATAGATGAGGTGATTAAATTATAGAGTTTATAGCTCCGTTATAGTACGGCAGTGTGAAAATTGTATATACAAAGACGAAAGCGATCAAAGGACAATTTTGAGGAAGGTACGAATTAGGTAGTTGAAACAATCGATAGAACTGTTGCCGCACATCGGAGGTACATGAGCAATTCGGCAATCATAGCTTTTGCCGGTGGCAGGGGGAAACACCCCTCACCATCCCTCATTAACGAATGAGCTTGGTAAAGGAGATGCTCTACCCGATTCGTACCTTCCTAAAAATTGTCCTTTGTTCGCTTTCTGCTTTCTGTATACAAATTTTACACTATGACGGAACTATCAACATTTTATTTTCATCTCCTCATCTATCGTATAAAATGTCCACATTAATCCTGAAATTTGTTGTTAAGCATTTCCAACTACGAAAATGATCTATTTCCAAGAATTTTGTTGATTGTTCTGCAAATATATTCAAGATTGCATTTTTTTTGTGTAAAAGCTTATGTGCCTCAAAGTTTAAGAGAAAGGGAATTATTCTAAAAAAGTTCTTGAGATCATTCTGAAGAAATTCTGTGAAAAGTTCTTAGCGAATTATCAAAGTTATCAAACCGTATTTGAATTTCTAAGTTACCATATAAATAGTTACTTATTTAGT